CCACCGCCGACACCATCGCCGGCAACCCCGCACAAATGGATCTCTAAATTTTTAGATCTGAAAAAAAAATGAGATCCAACTCTAATAGAAGAAGAAAATGACAAAAAGAAGGCTAGATCTAGCAAGAAAAGAATGGAAAGAAGAAGAAGGAAGAGGAGGAAGAAGATGACGAGAAGAAGAAAAGGAAGGGGAGAGGAAGAGAGAGAGAGAAAGAGTGGAAGAAGGAGGAGGAAGGAAGAGGAAGGGGGACGGGAAAGGAAGAGGAAGGGAGACGGGAAAGGAAGAGGAAAGGGGGAGGGAAGAGAGAGAAAATACATGTGTGGTGCTGTGGCCGAGAATGACGAGAACGGATGAGGAAGGGGTAATTTTGGAAGATTGAGTATGAAAACGTAGACTGGGAACTTTATTTCCGGACGGAAAAAAGCGTAGACTGGGAACTTAAAATCCGGACAGAGGGAGTAATGTCTAGTGGAGAAACAATATCCAGTGACGATGAACATTTAATTTGAACAATGTTCAGTGGCGGTGAACATTTACTTAAATAATGACCAATGGATATTGAACAATGCTACTACATTGGGAAATAAAAACGTATGATACTACATTGGGAAAGTCACAATTTTTAATAGTATTTAGGTAAATTCCCCTTTTTTATATAGAAACAAAATTATACTCCCCCGTTCCTAAATCATTTACCTATTATGCAAAATGAAGTAAACCCCAACATTTTTCAAATCAATTTATTTAAAGATTTATATATAAATAAAGAATAGAGTTCACATATTTAAAAAGCAGACACACACACACAAAGATATATATATAGGGGCCGGTTCCCGTGAGAATGCATAGAGAAATGAGAATAAAATCCAGCCGTCGGATCTGATGCATCCTGCGCTCAGATTTTGATATAGTGCATTTTCGAAGATTTATGGTGCATTTTGACGTGATGCATTTTCGCACCATTTTGGTGCATCTAATTTTGATGAAATCTTGACCCTTAGATCTCACAATCTAAAGCACCAGATTCATTCTCATTTTTCTCCTAAGATTGCATTCTCACCAGAACCAAAATCTATATATATATATATATATATATATATATATATATATATATATATATATATATATAACATAGATCTAGACCATTAGATCGTGTGTATCATGCGACTAAGATTTTGACAAGTAACTTCTTATTTATATGGTAAGTATTAATGCATTTGCAATAAAATAGGATGAGATGGAGTACTAAGGGTATTTTTGTAAATGATGTATTAATTAAAATAGGTAATGCTCCGTGCAGATTAAGGCCCAAATTTTTAGCCATTATTTTAGAAGTGGTCAAATTAATGAGGGTGATATTAATCATTTTTAACCGTGCAATCATGGAGTAATAAGTTGTCAAGTTAATGATTTATTCTTTTTCTTTTAAACTATTTTTTATCAAAATCAATAATGGATCATATTTAGTATTAAGATCCTTATAATATTCTATTTCTTTTTTACTTTATTTTAATGCATTTCTCAAAGTGAAATAGAATTATTTATTTTTTTTACATTATTTTTTTAAAGGAAATAATATGTGGTTTATAATTTAATTTTTTCTTTTTTTTTTCTAAATACTATTCAATCATCTCTTTTTTCATCACTTTTTTTGACATTTTTTTTGCATATTTTTTCCTCACGTGATAATATTTTTATCAGTATGCATCATTTTGATATATAACTGCAATACCCATTGTAAATTATGCATGCATTATTTATTTATCGTTGTAGATTAATAAATAATGACTTTTGATTGACTTTCTATGTGAGTAAAGAGCCTAAAAATATATTTTATCTAGAATAAGTGTAATATACATTTGAAAAATATTTTGCCTAGGCATGATTCGAACCTACATTTGTAGTACACACTTCTCTACCATTTGAGTTAATAGGCAAGAATTGTTTTTTTCAAATAGACTCTCATCTTGCACTTAGAAATATTAAATATGCATTTTAATCTTTTAAGATTTGCATCATTCAATATGTTTAAAACTCATATTTAAATTTAACATGAAATATTTTAAAGCTTCATTGTTTGTGGAAACTCACTATCTAAAATAATATTCAAGTGCGTCATAGTTGTGTTAGGAGAATTTTAACATAGATGCATCAACTTTGATTATGAGAATGGACCTTAACATAATGAAAATGCATTATCATTTACCTTGATTATGAGAATGCATTGATTTCTCATGAAAATGCATTATTGTAATTCTTATAATGCATAACATACTCATGAAAATCCATGATTCTGATAATGCACAACATGAACAAAAAAACAAACAAAAAGAGATGAAAAAAGAAACACGTTAATGTACACACTAATGAATATCAAATTGTCTTTCAACATTGTCAAGGTGAAAAGTTTCCAACTAATCAATAGAAAAAGTAACAAAAATTTAATTTATGTATAAGTGTGAGCATGTGAATTTTTGCACCACCGCCTCAATATAGTTAAATATGATCAGATGTTACCAATTTAATTTACTATATGGAGTAAGTCCTAGAAATATGCATGAAAAGTTGTAATAAAGAAAAAATGCAATACAAATACACACGATGTGCAGCAAAAAGACTAACAAATGCATAAGGACTAACCAATGCGTATCTTTGACCAATTGTGCATCACCTTCGTGATAAATGCTTTGAGATTGCATTTAAATTTGGCCATCTTGTTTAAACAACAAAACATGTCTACCTATAATCCTAACTCACTGTCAGAATATGCAACCATCTTGCACTACCTTCTGTGCAAAGTGCAGAATAGAAAACCCTCTATAATACTTAATCAATATTTTCTAGTTGATAAACAAATAAGCCTAAAAAATGACATTGAAAAAATTAAATAAGGTCTTAGTGCATAAAATGTAATTACAGACTCATTTGCCTATCTTTTGTCATTGAGCGGCTTGAATCACCGACTATAAGCGCAACTCAGGTCACCACCGCATCAGAGGATTGTCGCCGCCACAGAATCGAGGACGCCGCCATATAGGACTCATAGCCCACTCAGTCGTCACAGTCGCTTCACCCAGAAGAACCACCGTCTTCGTCCGAGCAGTAGCCGCCGCTTAGAAAGTCAACCACAGTCTTCGCCGGCTCTCACGAGAAGATTCACCGCCGGTAAAAGCAGCCCAGTCGTCGTTACTCTTCTCCGATCTCTGCTTCCGGTGCGTCTCTAATAATAGGGGAACTTATAAATTAAATTATATGGAAACATGAATCTTGGTTTATTTAGGAAAGAAATTTCATTGTTTGAGAGAAAATTGAGGCTTGATTTTGGGGAGAGAAGCTCGAATGATTTGAGAGAGATATGGAAATATGAGAAAAATACATATTTACCCATATTAAATGTCTAAGATTGAAGGAGTGAAGTGCTTGATCCAACGTCCCAAATTCATTCTCATTTCTTTCATAAGATCTCATTCTCACCAGAACCAAACTCTATGTATGTATGTATGTATGTATGTATGTATGTATGTATATGTATATGTATATGTATATGTATATGTATATGTATATGTATATGTATATGTATATGTATATGTATATGTATATGTATATGTATATGTATATAATATGTATATAATGGATCATGTCGAAATGCACCAAAATCCTTTGAAAATGCACCATCTCAAAATCTGAGCGCAGGATGCAATCTGGGCCGCACGATGCATCAGATCCAACAGCTAAATTTTATTCTCATTTCTCTCCACAAGGTGCATTCTCACGGGAACTAGCCCCTATTTAACTTGTTTCTAAAGTTTATTCTTTTTTATTTTTAATAATAATAATAGTAATAATAATAATAATAGTAATAATTTTTTATTGGATCTGATCTAATCTGATCTGATTGGATCTGATCTGATTTTAATAAGAAAAAGAAAAAAGCAGAAAAGTTAAGTTTGATGGAACGGGGCCTTACTGAGGTGGACTAGTAAGAACTTACCCATATTTATTTATATACTCTACGTCCATAATTAGCTTCTTGTTTGAAATTGACACAATCTTTAAGCAAGTGGAACTTGTGTACTTGTGATTTGTGTCGAAAGCAGTAAATACTCCATCCTTGGATTTATATTCATTTTATG